TACTCCATGCTATAATAAAACATATAAACTACTCTAGTTTAAAACTGGAGTAGTTTATATGTTTTATTATAACTAGGAGTATTCCTTTAACACCCTAGTATTTTGTGACAGCATTTTGTACTAATTGTCTTGATATTCATGAAATCCAGAGTTATGTAAAGTCAGCAAATCACAAAATCCACACGTCCCTGAGTGTAAATATATCAAATCATCAGCCAAACTAAAATATAAATGTAATAGTTAAAATAAATTTGGATCAAATAATTTGCTAAACCTGCACGAAAACGCTTTTAAAACATTATATAGTATCAGATATTAATGGAAATTCAAATATTTCAGTATTAGTTATATATAACGATAGTAACATTGGAATTAATAATGTATACATATTGATATTTAAAATTTTCCTAATGCTAATAAAAAAATTTCCGTATAGTCAAATTGACCGATGGCCCTAAATAGTGTGTCATGTTATCGGCTAACCTGTCACAGATAGAAATGCTATATTGTTTACGTCTGACGCAAGTGTGAATCTGAGGCACAACAAATACACCCATTGTTGAAATCATGAACCACGAACCTAATCACTGCTGAAATTACGAACTTAACCACAGTTAAAGTCACCTAACCACTATTGAAGTCACGAATCTAACCACTGTCAAAGTCACTAACTAAACCACCAAACCATTATTAGAGTTACGGATCAAACCACTGTTGAAGTCACGAACCAAGCCAGGGTTAAAACAGATAAATCATAAATGAGGAAAATAAAATCCCGGTACCTATCGATTTATTGTAATAACAGTTGTTTAAACATTGAAAGACAAAAAAGAAAAATAATAAATGAAAAAATATACAGAAAAAAAATATTCCGAAATTTAAATTCTAAATTTACATAAGGCTCGTTTTTTATTTTTACTACAGACGGTTTATAAATAAGATAAAACAAAATCTGTTCAACACTGATAGATATGTTAGTAGAAATTTCCAAGACAAAAATGAACACATTAATTCCCATTATTCATTAATATTCCATTTATTCATTAGCATCAGCAAAACAATAAGCGGCTTCACCGTGTTCAGTGCAGTCTGCACCATCCAATTCTCCATCTTCGTTTAGCCTTAAGGTACAACGTAAATATGTTCCAATAATAAGTAGAATAATGATTGTAGCAAAGAAAGAATACATCATTCCCACAGAAGATATTATTAATTGTATCAAAATTTGATCATAATTCCCATTTATAGCACCACCAAGTATGATTTCGCCGCCACGAGCCGCTATAGTCTTATCGGCAAAGACACCAGTCAAAATGTTTCCAATAAAACCACCGACACAATGGATAGCAAAGACATCCATAGAATCATCAAATCTAAGAAAAGATTTAAGTCTACCAGCCAAATTACAAATTAAACCACCACTTATGCCAAAAATTATGGCAGAAAAAGGAGAAACATAACCAGCACCAGAAGCTACAGCGACCAATCCTGAAATAGCACCACTACAAAAGCTAACAGCATAGAAGTATCCATTGCGCCAATAATCCAATAACATCCAAGTAAGGCCACCAAATGAAGCGGAAAGGTTTGAAACTATGCAAGCCATTATAGCGCGCTTATTGGCCGCTAATGCGGACCCAGCATTAAAGCCAAACCAACCAAACCATAAAAATATGGTGCCAATAACTACATTAATAATGTTGTGAGGAACTACATCAATGATTCTATTATGAGGAACTAAACCATTGTCTTCACGACGTCTACCTACAATCAAACAGAAAGCAAGGGCGGCCGCACCAGATGCTACATGTACTGGAATGCCTCCCGCATAATCAAGACCACCAATTTTTGCCATCCAACCATTTACGGACCAACACCACGAGGCCATAACATCATAAACTAAAGTAGACCAAAGAAAGATAAATATAATGGTAGGAAATATTCTTATACGCTCAGCAGCGCCACCGATGATAATAGCCGAGGCCAAAATCGCAAACATGCATTCAAAGAATGCAAATAAAAATTCAGGAATATTTCGACTTGAGTGAGTTGGGCCAGAGTCCCAATCGAGGTCGGAAAAGAAAGCATTTTGTAAATTACCAATGTAAGAACTAGAATTTCTGTTAAATGCTAAACTATACCCCCAAATAAACCACTAAAAAAAGAATTTATAGTACATGTTAATAAACAATTCATTTTTCCAGATAAAATAAATAAAGAACAGAATATGAAATAACCTGAGCTGATACGATTGGGATAGTTAAAAAACATAACATAATTAAAGACAAGGCATTTTTTCTTCGAGCAAGGCCGCTGTAAAACAGGCCAATGCCTGGTGTCATTAGCCAAGTGAAGCATGCCGAAGTCAAAATCCAGGCGATATTACCATCAAATGTGTCAGATGAATTAGTATCATTTGTCATGGAGATTTGTTGATTATTTTCAAGAGAAAAGTATAAAGGTTCGTTAATTTCGCTCATTATGAAATGGATCGGATAAAATGGAACTAATTTCAAATAAAAAAAAAATTTTTTGAGCAAAATATATATTATGAAATTATAATCGCAAGAAATTTAAAGAAAAAATTTTTTTTATATAATCGTTTGGTTGTTATCCCCAACCAATGCTTATTCGTACATGAAGAAGTATGAATATAGAAACAATCATGATTAATAGGAAACAGTTTTTATTATAGTTTAGACATTTGTAGATATTGCTAAGCGAAAACGGTATTTCTTGGATTTCAGGTTTATCGCTTCACGGAGCATGTTCCTAATCTCCGAAGAATAATATGTTTTCATTGTATTGAAATCGACATTGTAATCGTTATCATAAGATCAGATATTTTAGAATTCGATAAGCATATATCCTGTGCAGTGAAACATAAAAAAGTTTTTTTTTTTTGGTTTTTCTTAACGGCATTAATATGTTAGAATCCGAGTTTAATACTTTATACTTTATATCAAGACAACTAAACTTTAAATTCGATTCGAAAAATATATGTTACTCTTTGTTTTATCAGCACAAAATAAATAACATTGTAGACAAAATTTCATGCAGTGCATTTTGGCTTAAAACCGGAGCCTATCACCTTATTTCGATTTTTTCCTTTTTCATATAGTCTTAAAACTTCATTGTTTCCCGAAAAGAATTTTTAAGCTAGGTCCGGAATTTTCTTCAGGTATTGTACGTACGTACGTACATGCGTACGCACGCATACTTATTATCTTTGCATGGTGACACCAAAATGTTAGATAAAGCTATATACTATACATAGAAAAAAGATAGGCCAAACGGAACATCATTCATTGCTGTGAGTTTAGTAGCATTGATAAAAGGGCGTTTTCATGAGATTTAAGCAGTAAAGATCCTTACTAAGCTAGTCTAATTTCATAATCAGACATATTAATGATAGAATATCGATATAAATATCTTTAACGTTTAGTATAGTTCTGAATTTTGTTTTTTTTTTGGATCTACATGGCGTGTATATATGCATGTACGTACGTTGAAAAAGACACAATGACTTTCAGTAATGCAATGATAACCAACAACTAATATTACCTAAACACAACTTTCTACCTCCTATTGGAAATATCCCGTTTGAGGCGTGAAAACCCTTTGAATAGGGTTTAATTAGGGTTTATTGGATTTAAAGCTCCAGATTACATCACGAGCTTACAAATTCTAAAGTCACGAGATTAAATTATTGATAATTTCTAGAGCAAACACGTTAATTTAGAAATTAAATCGAGTTCGAGCTGTCTTTCTTACTTTCTTAAAGAGAGAATACGTTCTATATACACAGGAATAACAAGAATTCTACTTCTTCTTTATTTCAAGCTATTCTTTGAAAGCCACTATTCTCTTCTACGAATTCATACATTTCTTCAAATACTAAAAATTAAATGTAATTGCAGTAATTCCTAGAAAACCAAGACCTTGTACCAAATCGGGATGTAGTACATTTATTTCATTACACAACCATGAAGGCTACCAAAAGAAGGTGCAGAATAATTTGACACAAGAACCAGATTTTACTAAATATAATGATAAGGTTGTTAAAGAAATGGTATCATTAATATTTCTGACTGTTGGTACAGAATTATTCTTTATTGTTCATAAGTCACGGAACGCTTTTTCGTAATATAAAATACACGGAGTAATATGTTCCGAATAAAACTATCTTCCAAATATTAACGGATTTTTAACAGGAAATTTAAAATTCTTATTTTACATGTACATGTATGTACATAATATGCAAATTTTGAACACTTTAACTCTATGCGTATAAAACTAACACGCCGAGAATCTTACCTTATTTACAAGTTTGATAAGTTGTTACGTAGTGAAAAGGATAAACTTAGTTTATCTCTAATACGTAATACGTATAAATTTTAACTTTGCTGATGCATTATTTAAATTTCCTTTTAAAGAATTTTAAACGAAGGTCAAAATTCACCCTAACCCAAACTCGCATCTTTTTTAGCCGATCGCTTTTATAGAAATAAATACGCCATAGAATTTCATTATTAAGTTTCATTGAAATCTATAAAGGTTTTTCAAACTATTTAGAATTTGTACATTATATCTATTACATTTATTAGATGTGTCGTTTTCATTAATGTCAATAATGACAAAATTAAAGTTTTTTCATCATATACGTATCATGTTTGAAATCAGTACGTACGTACCTGCTCGGAGTTGCAACTTCAGACACCTTAAGCAATATTTACTTGGCATTAATTTTTAGTGCATGCATGCCTATTTTCAGGGCTGGTACAATTTCAGGGTACCCGGATCTGCAACTCCGAGAATGCTTGAATTTCAGGCGCGACATTCACGTGCATAACTTTCTTGTTGGGAACTTATTAAGATTAGAAGATAGTTACATGCTCGAGTTTCCTAAATAATTGATTTCGTGGGAAACTCTACAAATACGTATATATATATATATATATATATATATATACACCCATTATGAAATTACATATATACATTTTTTAAAATTTAAATAAGAAATGCCTAACGACTGTAGACGTGCCATCAATTCTTCTGAAATTATATACAAAACTCAACCTCCAAATTTAAGATTTGAATTCTTAAATGACAATACAACATTTCAATGGGGAGAACTAGGGATATCAAGAAGTTACTTGAAAGGAAAATTAAATTTTGGTAAAAAAATTAATGTTAATTTAATCGAACTAACACTTAGAGGAATTGAAGAGACAAATTACGTCCCAGTTAGTGGACGCATAAAGAATAGATATTCCGGTTCTTATAAATTAACGGAAAAGTCTATAAAATTTCCTATCGAGAGTAAAGAACCTCTCGAATACTATGATTTCAAGTTTCCATTAAATTCAAATTTATCTAGTTCCTTCTTAATCGCTGACAAAGAAAAAAATGTAAATGGCCAAATTTTTTACATCTTCAGTGCGACCGTTAATGAGCAGACTAGTGGATTTTTTAATACTCAGAGAGAACTCTGCGAAATATATTGTCCCCTAAGTCAAGTATTACCTTATTTCAATACTCATTATAAAAGTGTGAAAGATAGATATATAGTCTCTAATGAAGAGCTATTCGAATATTGTTTTAAAATTCCTGAATATCTCGGCCTTGGAACTATAATTTCCGTTCCTATTCAAGTTACTTTTCTCGAAACTAGGGTTAAAATAGTAAGGATAGAAATATCCTTGAAAGAAGTTACTAGGCACACTTTTGAAAATTATGATGAATCTGTTAGGACTGAAAAAAGATGTTGCACATTTTTCGAAGAGCCGTCAAAGATTTCGAATAATAGACTTGAACAGAGTCTTACTCTAAGAGTTCCGGAAGAGTTAAACATCAGTTATTCTGGTACCTATATTCAAATAAAATATAAGCTTGGTATAAAGTTTACTTTGGTTGGTGGCGGTATTAATATCGGCAACGGTGATTTTTATAAAGAGCAAACTGTGATAGTTGCAAGGTTTAATAGTCCAAACATTTCTGATAATTCTGGTAGCTTTGATAATTTAGATAATTTAGATCATTCTGATCATCGCAGCAATGATGTCGTCTCTGAAGCAGGACATCCACAGGAGGAACGAAGTAGTCAGAGCGAAGAAAATGTATTTTCATTCCAGAATTTACATAACACTCGAGGTTAGATAAACATAATGAATGAGGATAATAGAATTATATATATTCTTTGTTCTCTTTTATCTGTTCAAAGTATTACATTCTAAAAATTGTAAATATTTTATTGATATCTTTAATTTTATAACTTTTTTTTCTTTTTGTATTGTCTTTATATCATATATGATGTATTTTTTTTAAATTTACTTGTTACATATGCTATTAAATTTGAGAAATAAACTACTTTAATTAGTTTTATTGTGAGATGAAAACACATTAATTACGTTAATTGATATAACACATTAATTACGTTAATTGATATAACAAGCTAAATACTGTACAGTCAACCCTCTAAGTGTTACGCTGTAAAAGGCGAAATTAATTCACTGTCACACCAGAACTATCTCTACCAATTCCTGGTGGAATGTCGGGGCTATTCATATATTTATTAACTATCGATTCGATGCTAAGTTCTATTCTATTATCTAGAAATTTATATTGTCAAAATTATGATGTCTGTCTGTCCATTTGTACGCTTTAAGCAATCTAATTGATCAATTCAATGTACTATGGTCTGGGTAAATATGTTGGTTAAAAATTTTGGACACCAAATATTATCAGATTACGTTAAGTAG